AGAAAAAGAGGATGGTTCATCAAACGTGGACTTTTGAAAAGCCCATCCTCGGGCTAATGCAACCAACGACAGATTGGCGGTGGCCGATTTTCTATATATGTTCCTTCTCTCTCTCTCAATCTCTTTCTCTCTTCATATATATATAGCGAACGCGTTTGTTTATTCGCTTCGCCGATACGGTGGCGAATGGTCATTTCGTTGATAGCTCAAACGAAAATGTCCAAATGTGCCCCCATAAAGACGCGCGTTGTGACGATTCACAGAGAGGTGAAAGATACAGAGGAAAGCGGGAGCTTTGGGAACGGGAGATTAAGTAATCCCGACTAATTTCGGATTTTAAATCAAAGTCCCGGTCTAAAGGTCAGTGCATTTCGGTAATTTGGATCCGCGCAGCAGAATTCAAAGCATTCGTTTGTGCACGCATTATCGTTATTATATAAACCGTTGAGAACGAGATTTATAATAAAACCGCGAATCACACAAAGAGGAAACTTTGCGGGAACGAAAAAAAGAAAGAAATCCGAAGCAAATATTATTTCGAGAAGAGAACTGACAAGTTTTTCAACTAAAAAACTAAATAATTACCTTTATTTCGTTGTTAGAACCATATTGCGAGTATAATTAAGTAAAGAGAATATTAATTTTTTTTTTCTCGATATAACGCTTGCGCATAATTTTATTTCCGATGCGCTTCTGACAGACTACTGCGCGGTCGAGACAATTCATTCTCGCATAATTACCGCTGCTTTGCAATTCTAAGGTCAGTTGCGCTCGTCCGACAATCGTTTCGTCACAGTTCCGTGGAGGAAACTCGGTGACGCGTCGTTTCGTACGCGGAGAATAGGGAGAGAGAGAAGGGGGAGATTATTTTTTTCTTCACTCTTTGCAGGGAGAGACGACACCAGTCGGTCTCAGGGCCGTCACGTAAGTCGCCGCATTAAACGTGCCATTATACTTGTAAATCTCGAACAATTAGCCGTAATCAAGTACAGGAAACCACCGAGTGAGCGCGAGCGCGAGGAACGCAATTATTTTTAAATAGGATTCCGCGCCGGACCGCGTCTCTCTCGTAGGACTGCGACGACGGTGCCGTGATTATTATTAATCCATGCTCGCGGGGAAGAGAGAGACAGAGATTGTATATGCAACAAGTGCATATAAGAACGCACCGGAAGTCGTGCGCGTCGGCACCTGCCCCCTACGACTTTGACATCGTGATTGTCGATGGTCTTCGTTCCGTTTCGCGAGTTAACGAGCCTCGAGCTCATACGCCGAATAATTCATGCGCCGCGCCGTCTCGCTTCTTAGAGAGAGAGAGAGAGAGAGAGAGGCGTCGAATAATTGCATCCTACGGAAACGTGCGGTGCTCGCGCGCGCGCGCGCATCATATGATCCTTGTCGATCGAGAATATTAACGCTAATTATGTAATATCGCGCGCCCGATCAAATATCGATTCCGGCCATTTTCGGCCGGTTTCGGAAATCTCATGAAAGCGTAATTTGTACTCTGCTCCCTTTGCACCCAGACGCGGCTATTAACTCCGTCAAATCAAGAGTTAGGGAGGCTAATTAATATTTATTACTCTTAAACGATTTCATAATGATGGGTTTTCATTCTCTGGACACGGTTTATCTGATCACCGGTTCCACTGTTCAGACTTCTCTCTCTCTCTATCTTTCTTTCCCTCGGACTCAATTTATATTTTCTCTGTATTATACGTTGCATTAATATTACATTGTCCAAGACCTTTGATCTCAAGTGGAATAAAACGAAGGATAATAAGTTTATATTTTAAAAGACAATTTTCTTTGTCCTTCTCACCAGACGGAAAGCAAGAAATATCAAACATTATCGAGTCGAAACGTATTTTTTCGCGACTATTCCGCGCGCCTGATAAATCGGCTGCGCTGATGTGTCCCGATTGATCTCGCGAAAGTTCGGAGGAAATGTGAGAGGGAGAACGAGAGTAAGCCGCTTTGGCGGTCAATCCCACTAAGGGCTTAGTATATCGGAGTCGCGAGAAAAAGCGAGTCGGGGCAAAAAGCAGAACTCTGTCACTCTTGTTTGCCGAGGCGGCCAATGATCCGTCCAAGGCGGCTTACAAAAGTTTTAATCGACGCCCGTCGCACAGTCTCTCCCTCGCCGGTCTTTATTCCGGATGGCCGAGCACGCGCTCGACTGCTCGCTTTTTTTACCCCCGACGATCAATCTTGGCCGGAGAAAGAGAGAGATTCGTTACTGGTAATAGAATTAGGCGCTTTTCGCGCCGCCGAGTCTCTGAATGCGTCTAATTGTGCGCTAATATATCGCGAGAGAAGCCGATGCGATCTTGTGCGAGGTCTCGCAACGGAGACGTCTTCTCCTCTTTAATGCCGACGAGCCCCATGGACCAAAATATCGATCCCGCGCAGAGCGTACCCCACCGTTCCGAATTACCCCTATGTAGGAAAACCGACTGACGTCATAGCATATATCCCCTTTAGTAGGTCAGTGTGTCATTTTCGAAACATAGTTGAGACGGCGAAGGATTTCCCTCGATCGATTATCTCGCGGAAGATAAGAAACGATAAAGGCTGCTGATATAACGTAAAGTATTGGAGAATTGAAACAAATTAAAGTTTATATTTTGTGGTATACCTATTTGATTCTAAATTTTTTGTTAGTGATATATAATAAATTAAGCCAAAAATGTATAGCTATAATGAAAAGATCCCTCTACCCTTTTAAAAAATCATTAAAGATGAAAGTAAGAATTCCACCTTTGAATGTGTCCTTCATAAAGTATACTTTCGTGTTCAAGGAGACCCTCGGTCGACGTCGAATTATCGCAGAAGACACGATATCCGTCAGTTTGCCGAAGCACGTTCGCACACTCCACTGAAACTTTCCTCGATTCTTCAGCACCTTCATACAACTTCCATCCAAAGGTAAGCATATTCGATTTGCAATCTAATCGACGTGTTTCCACTAGAGCCGACCTTGAATTCTCTGCACGATATATCGAGCGGTATGTCATGCTTTTGAAATCGATTGCAACGAGATCTTCTTTACCGTTTCTTCGGATGACGAAGATCATTTCTTGCGATTGATACAGCACAATTTTCTCCTTATTTACGCGGCTTAATGTATTCTCGATTTTCTCAAATAATATTCGAAGGTATAGATTTTTCAATATAGAATTGTAATTATGTTTTATGTGCGAATCATTTGAGAAATAACGCGCCATTAATATTTTATAATAAAAGAATTATATTCACACTGAGAACAAATTTGAAATACGTATTATGTACTTTTAAATTTTTCGAGAGTTCTACACAAATTTAATCTATAGACAATTTTCAATTTAAACACACGCTCTACACGATTTAAAATTTAAAAGACACATGAAAATGTGCATAAAAGGTTACGTAGAAATTATTTCAAACATTATTGCAAGAAAATTTACATTAGTATATGTTACAAATTAATGAGATTTCGATTCGGTGCGGTGAAACGATTTATCTGTTTCAGCCGAGTCATTCAAATCGAGGGATTCGATTACACCCGGTGTGATTAAGTCTATTAAAAAGCCGCCTCGGGCGGTCAATCGGAGTCGACAAAAAGAAGGCGAATTCTGGTCGAATTATGCGCGCGACACATCGGATGGATAAATAGCGGCTAAATCTAAAAGCGACGAAAAAAAAAAAAAAACAATCTCGCGTGCGCCTATGTGAATTAGATCGGCCGATTTCGCGGAATCGATTTCCTACCGACGATGATGGACACATCACCGTGTGTCCTTGTAGCGTGTGCCCGGGTTATTCGTGGGACCAAGTTTCTAGAGCTTCTCGGAACGTCAAACCACACGTCTCTTGAACGGATCGTTGATTAGAGTCGATGACTTGCCGCGTAAGATCTGAAAAACCGCCGGGGTTCTTTGGGAGATAGATTAGACAGACGAACCGCTCTTAATAAAATGCAAACGATTTCAACATATTCATGAAAATAATTGTAGATTTTAATATGTACACATCAATTGTTGCTATATAATAAATTTTCATTATGTTAATTTTATCATTTTAATTTGAAGTCGCTTTTTAATATGTATAACGATTTATTTAGGGCTCGAATTTGCCCTTTATTATTGCATCAATTGTTGCTATATTGGAAAATAGATAAAAATTAATAAAATATATTTGCAAAATAAAAAATACAAAACTGTCTTGTGTAATATTTAGCGAATGAATTCATGATTTTAACAATCCGAATCTCACCTTTGTTCTTCGACGTATCGGAAAATAATTGCGGATCGATAGTGAGACACATCGTGGCGCGAGTCGGGCATTTCTTATCCCGGATATCGATTGTCCGCTTCCCAACGGGAACCCTCCAGCGGCGGGTACTAAGAACAGCTCCGGCCGGAGGGTGAGAAGAAGGGTGTTCTTAGCAAGGGCGGCGTGTGTATCGCCGGGCATTACTTTTATTCCGTGTCATTTGAGCCCACACTCGCCCTCTCGACGCGCGGCTGCCTCGACCCACGGATGCAATAGATTTCCCTCAAAGTGGTTTCGTGGCCTCTCCCCCGAAACGACGACGACGACGACGTATCTTTTGTCTCCCCGAGACTTACATGACCAACCATTCTCTGTGTCCTCCTCCTCTCGCCGACATCGTAAATTTCGAGACGGCTCGTCGAACAAGAAAATTTGTCGCTGAAATAATTGAACAATTTTGCATTCGTCTTTGTTCTTGAAACGGGAGAGAAAGCAGCTCGATATACCGAGAATAAATTTCTACGGCTGGTTCGCTCAGCTGTCCCACATCTTCGCGGTGGAATCGTAAACGCGGGAAGCGGCAGATAATCGGTAGGTTCGCGAATGATTTAGTGAAAACCGGGCGGCGCGTATAGGGCACTCAGCGTCGCTCGTAGACGTCGCTCGTAAAAATCCATCGTGAATACGCAAGGAGCCCGACGAGGAGCGTCCGGGATAGCAGCAGCAGCAGCAGAGCAGAGCACGAGATGGTGGTGGTGATGGTGGCAGAGCCGGAGGAGGAGAGAAGGCAGCCGCGAATCGGCGGTCCCACCGGTGGCAAATCTCGTAACGAGGGCTCGTATCTCGGCGGATCTTTATCGCCGGCAATTACGCCCGGTTCCGGCGCGGCCCGGAAAAGGTGGGTGGGTGGACGGCCGGGAGGTATACATATCTACTCTACCTACTTGCCATGGCGCGGCTCGGCATGACCGTGGAATTATATAAAGATGAAAAGTTAATGCCGCCGCGTCGAGCTCTCGCGAGGAACACGGCATATCGGCTTCTGCCCTAACCCTCAATCACTGAGAGCTCTTATGACCGCCCGCCACGATCCACCGGGGAAAATTCTGGGCGATCATGGAACGGGCGACATCAAATATGCAGCGCGGGTCGAATCTACGGTTATGTCGCGAGAGGGGATCGCCGCTCCGGAGAAACGCGCCTGTTTATGGCGCGCGATTTGTCAAGTAGGATCTCTCGCTCTTTCTCTTTCTCTCTCTTCGCGTACCGAATATATGTATATCGCTATAGCCTAGCGATAAGAAACTGTAATTCTCGAGACTGCCGAACATCATTTTCAATGTTGGGAAATTGCATAATTTATTTTGCGACAAGGTGAAACAGTCTAAATATTTAGGCAAAAAATATTTATTTTAATCTATCAAGTAACATTTAAATAATTTCCCCTGTATATATATAAAAAAATTATATTATAACTTAAAATATAGGAAGATTAATCTCTCCGCTCGAGAGGCCTGTATAAGAAAAGTTAAAAACCATAATTTCTCTCTTTCTCTCTCTTCGCGTACCGAATATATGTATATCGCTATAGCCTAGCGATAAGAAACTGTAATTCTCGAGACTGCCGAACATCATTTTCAATGTTGGGAAATTGCATAATTTATTTTGCGACAAGGCAAAACAGTCTAAATATTTAGGCAAAAAATATTTATTTTAATCTATCAAGTAACATTTAAATAATTTCCCCTGTATATATATAAAAAATTATATTATAACTTAAAATATAGGAAGATTAATCTCTCCGCTCGAGAGGCCTGTATAAGAAAAGTTAAAAACCATAATTTCTCTCTTTCTCTCTCTTCGCGTACCGAATATATGTATATCGCTATAGCCTAGCGATAAGAAACTGTAATTCTCGAGACTGCCGAACATCATTTTCAATGTTGGGAAATTGCATAATTTATTTTGCGACATGGCAAAACAGTCTAAATATTTAGGCAAAAAATATTTATTTTAATCTATCAAGTAACATTTAAATAATTTCCCCTGTATATATATATAAAAAATTATATTATAACTTAAAATATAGGAAGATTAATCTCTCCGCTCGAGAGGCCTGTACAAGGAAAGTTAAAAACCATAATTTCACGTGTCATCGAACATTTTTTTATCGATTACATTCACCGTCGCCGTTCTCTTCCTCGCGGCGATATCGTCTTCAAAAGCCGCCGACGTGCGCATACTCGCGCGAACGTCTCATCATCATCCTCGAACTCGATTTCCGCGCCGAACCGAGATTTATCGCATGCGGCGATACGGTCGATGGATCAATCGACGACGGCGCAAATGACGGCGTTTTAACGGCGATAAAATTCGTGTCGCGAGCGATGCGTTAATTCTCGCCCGAGGCCGTCTTTCCACGGCGGGTATAAAATAGGTCGCGCGCGCGACGTCAATTTGCACGGAGCGTTTTAATGCGACGCGTGATACCTCGGCCGGTCGACCCGAACGAGCGATTTCCAAGTACCACGACGTATAACCTATCGGAGTCTTGAATAATAAATGCGCGGGACACAGGCCGGTCACGCTACGCCTAGGAACACCGGCTTGTCACTCGAAATGTCAGACGAGAGAGACGTCCATGGCTGTGCAGACTGCCGAGGCTATTAATTAATGAAACGCCCGCGCCATTATTGCCGGTAGTAAACATCTGGTCCGGTATACACGGCCGATAGGTCGTCCTTTCCGGGGACGTGCCACCTCGAGAGCTGACGGTTCCGCCATGTCAGGATCATCATTGTGAAATTGCAAAACTCTTGAGAAAATGTTCATTTTATTTTCCAACGAAATTTATCATATGTGTGTATTTCAACGTTTTGATATTTCTATAAAAATATTAGGAAAATTAAATAATTTATTTTTTGTTAAAATATTCATTTTCTTTTATATACATTAAACGAGATTTCATCAAGTTGCGTGAATTTAAAAAAAAGAAAATTATTTTTTACAATTTATTAGTTACATGCAAAGTTACATGTACATTTCGAGAATCGCTATTATTGAGCTTTACACTCAATCATCTTCACACATCATTGAGATACATCAACTTTAACCTACGGAAGACCGTATCGGATCTAGCGCAAAGTTTTTCCTACGGAATCGCGGCGTTTCTTTCTCCATCGCATATAAGTAAACGACACCGGAAACCGGATGGCTTCGAGCAATTCCGGATAAACGCGCGGCAAAGTCGATTCTCGAGGCGGCGGCATGTATTCAATGAGACCTTGGGACCGTCATGCGTCCCGAGTCAGCTTCCGTGAGAAACACGCGAGGACAGAGTATAGTTCTGTGCCGACACTGAGAGGGAAGGAGATCGCGGATGAACGAAGGAAGAACAACGCATGCGGCGAGAGAAAGAGAGAAGAGCCACGACGATTCCTCGCGGGACGAAGCGAAGGGAAAACTCGCGCGTATAATATATGCAGATTGCAGGAGTGCCATTATGTCTCTTTCGCGCGTGTACGCTCACCCACAACACCGTCTCCACGGTCGATCTCCGTCCTCTTCCTTCGCCGCAAGAAGCGTGGAAGACCTAGTATACATAACGCGATTCACTCCTGCGGAAAGCGCACCGCGATTGTACGATAATTAGCGTTGATTACGCAATAATCACCCGGACATCTTATTCCTCTCGCACGTTCGCGACGAGAGGACTCTCCGTGATGACCCCGAAGGGTTACCACAGAGAACGCTCAGGATCGCGTGGATCACCGCGTACATCGTCTGACCGCGCGTTTTCCCATCCGCGTTATAGTCGACGTTCTTCCATATTTCAGCACTGAAAAAAAATCCACTTGTACTTTTACTGTTATTTTTTCCATATTTTTAATGTAAAAATTACATGTAAACTATATGAAAAATTATTATTCTTATGCGAAAATCACTTTGTAATTTTTAATTTAGTAGTTTTACTTTATTAGAACTTTATTCTACAAGTATTTATCCATTTTATTTATAACATTATTTTATAGCATTTAAACATCACTAGCATTTCGTATATGCAATTCCATGTTAAGTGGAATATTTTTAATTATGAAAATATATAAGAATATATTTCATACGAAATTACATATAATCTTCCACATGGTTAGCAATATTGCAATATTAATTATGCTTGGTCGAAAAAAACCCAGTATTCATGTAATTTTACACAAATATTTTTTTCAATGATCTCGCGATACCGTACTTCGCGTTCTTTAGTATAACGTCAATGTTTTTCTATCCTATATAAGAAACAAGCTTCATCTCACTAAATGTTTTATAGCGGTCAGTATCCCTCCTTTGCGGAAAAAATATAATGAAAAAAATATAAAGTTACCGTTAACGCAGTGCCAATCAGCGTTCGATTCGTCATATTTACGTGTCGAGTTAATGGAGACCGTTCGACCATCGACCTCAGAAAGGCCACACGATATTCTCCAAAACCTTCGCCGCACGAACAGTTGTAAGTATATTTGTTGAAAAAAAAGGAGTCACGAGCGAGACTGAGATTCGAAGTAAAGTAACCTCCGCGTGCCGAGATACCAATTAAGTAGAATTACGCCGTTCGGTGTGTATCCGCGTTTCTGCTACAGGAGGAAGAGGAGGAAATGTATCTTTCCGTTCTCGTCTCGGATTTATATGCTTTCGTGTCTGTCGGGCACTTATCATAATGGAGCTCATTCGGGCTCTCTGTGCGGACTTTCGTAGTCACTTTTCTACATTCGAGAGAAAGAGATTCGCGCGGCGGATTCTGCGAATGCGAAATTTGCGACGACCCGCGGCGACCTCGCGATCGCGTAGCCTCGAAGAGGCCAGGGAATAAGAAGAGGAATCGTCGCTTCACGGTGGATAATTCCTGTGAAGAGATGTAACTGGACGCGGAGAAAATTAATTTCTAGATCGACTAACCGACACGTTTCTGTTTTAACCATGGGTTTCTCTCGCGTTTCATCTTTCGCCGCGTGAAACTACAGGCTCGTAAAGTAAAGTCGACGTCATTATTTTTGATTTCTTAATCAACAGTTTACTTCATTAATAGAGCGCATTTTCGCATTATATCTTGCTTGATCTCTGCATATTTTTTGCGTTTACAACAGTTCGCATAAATATGTCATCGAGAAAACTTTTTTCCATTTAAATAATTTTTCGTATTTGAATAAAAATATAATTAAATATCCTAAAAAATGATAATTAAACTGATTTCGATTCTACGTCCAAGGAGTCGTCTCCTGCCACCGAGTATTCCCGGTATCCGCGGGCGAATAATTTACTCGTTGTCCTTAAGGTCCAAGAGCGAGTGTAATGTTTCGCGTTTGTCAGAGAAGGTCTCGGCTTGTCTCGCCGTGGGCTAATCCGAGGAGTCGGAGACCGCAGGAGGAGAGTCATGAGGACAGAGACGGAGTCTGGCCCCGCCGCAGATTACTTAGGTAATTGGTAAATACGAGGGTTACCATCCCAGTTTTCACCGAGGGGATGGTTGAGTCGACTGGCTGCCGGCGAATACCTCGCGGCGTTTCGTCTCTCGTTTCCCTTTCCCTTATCTTGCTGTCTTCCTCTCTCGGTTCTCCCTCTACTTCCGTTTTTCCATCTCGCTCCGGGTCTCACCCGACGGAGGATATTCGCTTTAAGGGGGGAAATGAGCCTTAAAATTGTTTAAAGCGGTCGGAAGAAGGGTCGTCGGATCCCTTTAGCCTTACGCAGGATGTAACCCAAAGCCTTAGGGAAACCACGACACTTTGCACGACAAGAAGCTTTTCGATCGCTGATAAGGAAGCCGATCTTTCCGATTGATTATCTTCGTGCGAGGGAACGCGAGAACTACGGAGAACGCGTATTAAAATTTTAATTATACACGGG